CTAGGCACCGCGTATAAAGGACAATAGCGGTAAAGCTCCACGAATTCTTAACTCTGACAACAATTTGTGGTGCTTCATAATAGTAATCAGCCCGTTTTGTTTTATAATAACTGTAGAGCCATTACACAAACTTTATCGCTTCTAATGAGTCTCCTCTATAAAGTGCAATGAAAGTAACATACGCCGCTTTTCCGCGTGAGGTGATAGGGCTGTCTCTTTGAAAAAGGTCATGCCGTTGGGTCAACCTCTGCTGACGCCATACGTACAATCAGTGAACCATAAGGTCGCCCACCTTCCTTTTCACAATCAGTCAGTCATGTCAAAAAAACTGCATAAGCAATATATGATTCTGGCTTCCGACCTCCGAGGAACTAATCTCAAAGTTTGGCCGGCGACCACGCTCCGTATGTCCGTGAGGGGGTCCAGGTGGGCCTGCGAAAGTCCTCGAGCACCTGGTCGCCCCATTCGTTGTTGCGACGAAGCTCAGACTCTTCTTCCTTTGTACACGAGGAAATAATTCCGAGGCCAATGTTCTTCTTACTGCAGCTGAAGTAGGGACGCAGCAAATCCCGAGGCCAATGTGCTTCATGCTGCAGCTGAAGTAGGGACGCAGCAAATGTTAGGTAACCATTGCTGTGTCTAACAGGACCAGAGTACAAGATCTTCATCATTTGAGACCGATCTTCACGGATACTGTTAAAACTGATTAGTTACTTTAATACGTCACAATTTCTGAATTTCAAAACGGCTATGAGGTAACACATCTCCACCCCTAGATTCAGAAGACGATGTTACTATGGGTTACTGAGACATGTAAACTCGTAGGTACATACCAGTGTTTCGGAGAAACATACACTGTGTACTGTCTCCAAATTCAGCTCTGAAGATGGAAACAGCATGTTTCTGCAAAACGTTGACATCCCTCTGCGAGTCCACACAGCGTCACAACGTCGTCACGTTCTTAAAAATTATTATTGACTATCATTTAAAGAAAGGAGAACATCGTTACTTCGAATTCTCTGATATACCGTCCCATCACTTTGCTGGAGGTTCTGAGAACAATCTGAAGACAAAAAACTTAGGATAATTGATCTCCGGACCTAGGTTCAAACCAGCGACTGTTGAACACGAAACAGATGTTGGGTCATAACACGTATTTTACCAGGAATACTTCTGCGAATCATTTTGAAGTAGGTTTTAAACAAATGAGCTTATCAATTTATTTATTTAGTTACCCCCCTCGACCTGTCCACGTGGAAAGTAGCGACCTTTTTGGTTGACAATAATTTATTATAGCTTAATCGCGGCAACCGTTTGAACTCGTAAGGTACCGTGTGATTGTTTCTGAGGTTTCATTACACTAAGTAAACTGTCGTGCGTCAGGATAAGAAATAAATCTACCAGGACACGTGGATTCCCCCCCCCCCCCCCCCCCCCCCGTCGTTTCTCAAGAGCAAGTTCTCTCTCTTTTTCTCCATCTTGTGGAAACCAATAAGAGCCATTAGCGAGATTGCTGCCTTCTTGGCACTCTGTTGTCAAGATAAAAAGAGACTCATAATAAGAGAGGGTCTGAAGCCAGCCCTGGATTCCACGTGACATTGCGTTATTATCATAGATAGAAATAGTAGTTTTGTTTTAAATATTTTCTGCGGGCCTAAGTTTTAATTCCCGGAGATTATACGACAGGATAGATTTTATCACTGTAGGACCACTTCTTTATTTCACTTCTTGTTCTGTGACGAACTGATTTTATAAACTGCCTGGTTATTGTATATAACCAAATACATGCTCCACTGAATCACTGCCCTTGTAGTTTAAACTCCCTAAACCACAGCACCCAGTACCACAAGCGGAGACGATTTCCTCACACGTCATTGAGTGAATGATTTTGTAATGTAGGTGAACATAAAGATTCAGGTATCAAAACTGTCCGTTGTTCTCCATGCCCGCAGGAGAGAAAACAGTTTTTAGTGTTTAAAGTTATGTTACTTAGATGCGATTCCTGGGTTCTACAAAGAACGGGGAATTTCGTAAGCTGCTGAGCAACTGTCAGCTTCAAGATAATTACTCTAGGAGTTGGTTACATTAGCTTCGAACATTCATGTAGAACAAATTAAACATGTTTCAGGAAATTTATGGGTTAGAAAAATTATATTAATCGTAGATAGCTTAGGGCCCTATATTTAAGAACATGTGACCAGAGAAACATGGATTAATCAAGATCTGGGTCTGGCATATTTATGCAGTAAGATTCCGAATGAAGAAACATAAGTGTTCGAACTGAATAGTAATAATAATAATAATTCAATTCAATTTATTTATTTAAGTGCGTGACAACAGCCAAAAAGGCCAATAACAGCCAAACACTAAACCAGAGTACAGGATAAAATATAATAAGTAATTAATTTATTTCAATAATAATAAAAGTAAAACAAACAAATGAAACTAAATATATAAATGTACCATATTAATAATAATAATAATTAGATTCATTTATTGAATAACAATAATTTCCAGACTGTAGCCTGTACTTCTGTTAACTTCATTTCTACTTGTTAATGTAGTTCTCACATAAGCCTGCTTAAAATTTTTAAAGTTTCTAAATAAATTATTAGACGATTTTCTCGTTAACTTTCGTTTCGTGAAATGTTAAAACGTTAGTTTTTTCTATATTTCTATATTTACGTCTGGACCAATTTCTTTACTGTAATGCTTGAGAACTTCGTTGTGGTATTTATATTATCCTTCTAACAAATTAGCACCATTAGGCCATATGTTTTCAGCTCTTTTCTGTTCTCTTGGGTTTTCCTGGCGGAATGTTCTAGAGCAGTGACGACAAAGCTAATTATTTCAACTCGTTATAAATTGGAATGACGTAAAATAAATGTTTATCGCATGTACTCTATCGTACACCACATTACTAATACTGTTAACTCAGTGAAATTTTCTTGGCTATAGCAGTCTGGGCATGGTGCTGGAATGGTGAAGACAGAATCTTAGAAAGTGTCGCTGTAACCAATAGTACCACCATGACAACTGTATTTGTCAGGTGTAGAAGTAGACAATTCTCCTGTCCAATGGGAGCGTATGGATGTATCCTCAGTCTAGTGTGAAGGCTGAGAACACTTAGGGGGTTACCTCCACGAAAACAGACAAAATTCGTATGTTCTTAACAGTTAATAAAACTTATGTACCAAAATATATAATTTCTTGACTGAATGTTGTGGTCACGTGGTTAGCTTCGTATTCGGAACGTCCCGGCTTCGAATATCGGGCCGGAGACTGGATATTCTGACTGAGTTTTTTTTTTTTGGTTTTCCTCAGTTCCTCGAGGCAAATGCAGGGATAATAGTTTGAATTAGGCCACGGTCGCTCACTCACTCTATGGTGCAGGAAATTAATTGAAAAGTCGATTGTTTACTTGGCTTGTCAAAGAATATCCCAATTTTTAACGGAATTCCATTCTCTCGTTCTGTCTAATGAATATACATATGTATATGCTTAATATTTTCGACGTTCCTACTATATAAAGTGAAGCTTTCGCGGCGACCGAAGTTGATGAAAGACTCTCGGGTAACAGGCCGCTTCAGGTGGCTGAATAGTGAATGAACCATTTCCTCCGCCAACGTTTCGAGAGCCATCTCTGGTCTCTTCCTCAGGGCAGCTGCAAAAAGAAACTGGTCCTATGTCGCTCGCTCGCCGATGGAAACTGCCATCTACACGCAAGAGTAACAACTACGACTGAATGTCGACATAATGGAATGTTTTCCTTTGCACATAGTTCTGGATAGGACAGAACCAAGTAGACAGGTCATCTGTGGATACATCCTTCTTCGTATATCTGTGTCTTTGAATTGGACGTTGGTGGTGAATAGAATTTGACATAGAAAGTTTGAAGATTTTTTATAATGGCAGTTTCATTCACAGGTCGAAGAATTATATGTATAAAAAATAATTTTCTTTTAACGCCGTGCAGAAGTGGCTATATTATTTTGTGAGTTTCGTTTTACATTTATTGATTTGTACATTAAGGTTAGCTGGGAGCAGTGTACATACAATTAATTTATTTATAGTTTATTTAATGACGCTTTTTCAATACCTCAGACTACATATCGTCGAATGAGAGGGTGTTAGTGAATAATGAATTGAAAAGGATGCGGAAGTAAGCGGTCGTGGCCTAATTTAAGGTACTATTCTGGTATTTTCCCGGAGGGACTGAGAAAAGCAAGATACAAAGATCGGTGCCTTCTGAGTCGTACCGGCGTGTAGTCTGATAGAAGTTTACGAACGTTTCAGAGGTGCTTGCTGCTTCCATCATCAGGGTGATAATGCAACAAGTACCTCAGAAACGTTATTAAACTTCCACCAGACTTCGTGGTGCTACAACCCAGAAGACAGTCTTCCAGTCTTCATATTTGCCACTGACAGAACCTCAAATCATTCTCAGTTCACAGATTGTTTATAGATTATGAATTTCCAGTATCTTGCAGTTAATAATATTGCTGCAGCTAGTAATGTAGTACCTTTATAACAAGGAACCAGAAAAGTAAATAATGAAACAATCATGCAGTTTCAACTCCTATTAAAAAATGAAACTTGTGAATCTGTTTTATAAAGACAGTGATACTGACAGTAAGTTTTAAGTCTTCAGTATGCTTTTCTAAATATATTTAAAGCTAGTTTTCAAATTAAGTACAAAAGCAACTGAAAAGTAATGAATGAATGGATTACACAAGGAATAAAAATATCCCACAGTCATAAAAAGTGTGTGTATATAGTATTTTTGAGTATTTAGCCTAGGAGAAGATAAAGGTATGATATAACATTTGTCTGGAGGAACTGAAAAAAAAGCCCTGCAGTCCCCCTCCTCCCAATTCAAACCTATGTAGCATCACCTGCTTTATGATGTTCAGCACAATTCCAGTACATGAAAATATTTGGTAAAGAAAATAATTGTGCATTGAGCTTTATTGTTCTGTAATTAATTATTTTATTTTCAGGCTTCCTGAAGTACCCACTGATGTTCCAGATGATCCACTACTTAAAACACAGGGAATTCCTGAAATCAGCAGCCTGTCAACAGAAAAATGCTCAAATGCTGTGAAAAAATATGCTTTAAACTTTGAGTCTGCAATTTGGAAGATTGAGGACCAGTTGAAAGGTGCTAGCCATGAATTTTATAACTTACTGTATGTTACAGGCTCTTTTCAACACAGTTAGTAGTTATCCTGAAATGTTCCCTTACTGTTGTCATAAAAGGTCCTTATCAAACCCTGTTCTTGGCCAGTTCAGTTCACATCATGTGTTTACATTCAGTACTGTACCCTATAATCTTCATAATTATCCTTTCTTTAGAGTGATTGTTATCCAAGAGATATCCATGTCCCATGCTTTATGCATTTCTTATTTCTTCAGCTTTTGAGCTTCAACACCAGTCCTTTTTTAATGTCCTTAAAAATGCAATGAGAATTACCAAGATTTCAGTTTATTATTATGTAATATTACCTATTCCTCACTTTGTTTGCATTGGGTCCATACAGGTCAATGAATGAACTTTCAGATTAGTCCATTATGTTAGTTAAAATTATCATTAGTAAATACTTACATCAGTAATACTGTTATATCCATTGATTAGGAGTTAAAAAAGTTGGTGCATCATTAAAAATACTTCCAGCCTCCTATTCAGTGGCTATTGGAGAGTCTTATGCCAGGACTAAAGTGGCCAATGTGTAAAGGTGAAAAATACTTCACTTTATTGCCAAAGTATGGAGCCTTATTTCCATTCATCCATATGTCCTCATGTTGTTTAATGAAGCATGGAGACAGCTGTACCTTATTACAATATTAGGAATTCTGATGTAAGTTCATTGTGAACTATACATTCCATGTATCATGACATATGCTTCCTGTTTATTTAAACTTCATGATTATTATTAATGAGGCACAGCTGATTTCTGTTTCATATCTGTGACTCGTACTTGTATACATGTTTGATATCTCACTTCATATGCGCATTGCCGTTTCAGGAAATCCAGCACAGAATTTATTTGCGGAAGTGTTGGACCCCCTTGAGAAACATGGTGCCCCTCTGGACACAACATGGGGTCTTGTGAAGACCTTATTTTTTACCAATAAAAATCTTATGCCTGGGAGAACATATGTGAACATCCATGATAAAGCACGCCGGTTTAGAGCTATCAAGTTCAACAGTAAGCCTGTATATACAGCATGCAAGGTAAATTATTCTTCATATTCAGTATAATGCATCTTACTGGACACTTGTTGTTTTATCCACTGTTAACTTTCTCAGTAAGAACAGAATTTGTGTTTGGGCCTTCTTCTGCAGTAATCACTTATTCCTGTCCAAACTCTCACATCAACATCCATGAAGAATTTTGTTATGTACTGTATTGTATTTGTGGATAATGTCTAATATTTTACATGATTTTTTGTAGGAAGCAAGTCTTAATAATGATTTTACAGAAGAACAGAAACGAGTGGTGGGAAAATACATCCTGGAGGGTCGTCTGAATGGTTTGGATCTTGATCACGTACAGTACATCAATCTACAACAAACAATTAAGCAGATCACTAATCAAAGGACTAAATTCAAGTATAACATTGATGTAAGTTAGAAATAACGGCTAGAGTTCATGGAGCACAAAAACTTAGTCTACTGTCAGAGATGTTCCTTGTCATGTATCACGCTATGTCAAAGCACCATGCATTCTAGATGATGCAGTAATGAGGTTGGTGGTCAGTTTCACATTCCATGTACTTAGCCCAGGGAAAAAGCACTCATTGGCCATGGATAGAAGGCTGAAAGGGTCGCAGACCCAGTTTTCTGCTTGTATCATTACAGATGGCTACAAAGAAATTCCAGCACACAATTTTTGATCACTCAGTTGTACGAGAATTTCCTGAGAGTGTTCTCAAGATGCTGGCATTAGACAGGTAAATTAACTTGCGATTAATGAATTAAAATTTATGTACTGTGAAATTCCTAAATTAAATGTTCAGTTTCTTAAAATATTTTTATTGCGTGACAGAAAATCAGTTTAAAAATTAAAAATTTGCATTAATATTATTTCACTCAAGTGTCAGTTATGTGCCCATAACCTTTAATCGTACTTGAAAATTTTTGCTTTTGATGAGACTGAACAAAAACGTTGACATGTGCAGTTAAAACTAATTATTTTGTTGTTGTTTGTTGACTGCTATTGAAGTAGAAGTGAGGCTTATGTTATAATCAAACAAGTCCATTAGTCACCAAATTCACTTTGCATCTTTGTACTCCCCAGAGACTAGATTAGAAGTGCCAGTTTTTCTTGTTATTCCTTATCATAATTATAATCACCAACATCATAATTATTTTTGCAAGTTCTAGTACTCAAGTTACGTGAAATACTCCAGAATTCTGAAAGTACTCAGAGATTGATGAATGTTGTAATACTTCTTATGAATCTCCTGTTGTAGGCTGCATGCAGGATAATTGTGTTTATTGGGGCTAACTTATAGATCTTAAAATATTTTTGTTTTATTTTTTCCCTTAAGTGTTTGAATTACTCCGGTTGTCTTCTTTTTATTTACATGCGTAGTTCACAACCAAACCTTGGTCCATGGAAGGTCACCCTAATCCCACATGTGTACTCCAAGTTCCTCGAATATTGTCCAGACCGAGATCTGCGTTGGAACATGTGGCAAGCATATACAAGACGAGCCTCTAAGTTTTCAGACTCAACTCTTCAGAACAGCACACATCTGGAGGAGCTGAGATATCACAGGTGATATATGACTGACATATTAAGAATATTTGGAGATTCTTTATTCTTTCGTCATTAAATTGTGGTTAAAACTGCCTGGCATTTAATTTCCTTCACACCAGCTTTCTCAGAAGGTACTGTCAACTAATAGTGATTTGCAGATAAAAGTATCAAATTGGTAGGGAACTGTAAGAAACAGAAACTGAAAATATGTGCATAAAACTATGATGAAATGCTAGAAAATGTAAAAGTGAATTAAAATTAAAAATTTGCATTGGTCAGAAACATTCAGTTGTGACCTAATCATAAATACACTTGATATGTACTATGCACTGTTCCGTTTGGGTGTAGATGTAAGTTGTAATAAAGGAAGACTCGTCTCAAGTGAAAAACGCAAATAGGGGCGCTGATCATTGTTAAAATTTGCTTTGCACAGATCTTTCACTTCTCTGGATGTTCAGAAAGAACTTGAAAACCTTGCTGGTGAAATTTCTATTTCTGTGATAATTTCTGTTCATGATACTGTATGTGCAGTCAAGCATTGCACACATATAGTCATGTGTGCACTGTGAGTGGTAGCTGTTCTCACACCATTATGAGGCTTAAGTGGCATTTGTCCATCATCATATAGTTTCAGATGACTGGACATAGATCCCTAACCCTTACTTCACCATATGTCACTATTTTCTTAAAATGCTGTTATTTGCAGGTCATTTCTCTTTGGAAGTAAAAGTACTGTGGTTGTATTTTTCAGGAGATACCAAGCATCTCTTCTGGGGTTTGACAGTTTTGCAGCCATGTCTATGGAAACCAAGATGGCTGGTAGTGTAGAGAATGTCAAGACAATGATTACCAGTCTTCTAGCCAGAGGTACGCTTGGCCTGAAACACAGGTGAGACGATCACAAGAATGTGTTCAGGTTTCCACAGACTCGATTTAATAGAGGTATATTATTAAGCCGTAGATTAACCACCCTTGTAACATGTAAGCACACTGGAAATAAGCACAGTAAGTTTTATATGAGGATTTCTGTCTTCTGGGTTGTTGCGCTGTGTAGTATGGTCGATGTTAACCAACGTTTCAGAGGTCATACTGCCTCCGTCATCAGGGTGATGAGTTTTATATGTTGGTATCTTAAAGACTTACATCATGTTGTTGTGATGCTATGCTGGTAAATGTTAGCAAATATTAGTGATGTCACTTGCTTTCAGTTTAATTGGATTTAATGATGAGTGAGAATAATTCAGTACTTGTTGCTTGCAGTGTACAAACTTTCAAAGTCAGTCATGAGGTTAATGTATTTTTTGGCTGCTTACATTGTTTATGAAGTTTCCTGTAGTAGATTAATCTAACATACTCATAGTTAATAAGAATTTAAGTAGGGTAAATTAAACATGTATGATACAATAAATAAGTAGTTTCATTATGTCAGTGCATTTTATTGTAAGAAACCTGGGGCAAACAGTCGGTATTTCAGTTTGCATTAAAATAGTTATGTGACAGTATATGAAAATATTTTAAAAATAAATAAATAAAATATATATTTTACTCTTAAACCACCATATAATGTCATCTCCACTTTATCACAGTGTACTGTAAACATGGACTTGCTTAACTCCCACCTTTTACTTTCAAATCATCAGTGACAAGAACATATTGGAAGCTAAACCATGATAAGACTGTAGAATTCCTTGTGCTTCCATCCAAAAGCATAAGTAGTTAGTGTACACCCTTGGACAAGCAGTCCGCATTGTGGCAGTTACTTGAATTGATAGAGTGGTTTCATGTATATGAGCA